TAAAATATCGCTAAAACACACCTTTCTCCAAATAAAAATTAAAATGAAACAACAACAAAACATTAATAGTCCTATCAGAAACAAATCTCACAATAGGATTTTGTAAATAAGTAGCGATTTTTTTTTTTTTATGACTTTAGTATGATCTTTCGAAATTAGGCCAACATTGGAGATTTGGCAAAAATAAATTGTAGACTAGGATATCTGCAAAACAAATTTAGATGTGGATACTTCATCCAGCTGGTTTATTCGTACTCCAGTATTCGCATTTTACTGAATAGCTCACCAGCGAAATACTGGAAAAGTGTTTTTCTTGGTGTCTTAATAAGATCAGCTTTTAGTTATATCAAATAAATTTCAAAACACACTCCATATTAACAATTGGGTTATATATGCACTGTTAGTGTTTGTGGATGACTTGTGTAAATATTATTGCTATAAAGATATGCCTTTCAGTGTATTGTGCCTTAAACGTGTAATAAATAGAACAGAATAGAATTATTCATTTACTAGCACACTATTTATGCGAATCTTTCTCCTTTCTTATCAGATATAGTTAACGTTCCATCCTCTATCTCAGCTCATCAGCCGCAATGCTTTTATAGATTTCTGCTTCAAAAAAATAAGCAGTAAATAGAAACACGTCTTTATGCTTTATAATACGCTTGACCCACCCTCTTACTAATACTGTAAAGTCATTATTGTACAGTAATAATAAAAAAAGGAATGTGTCACAATATACAATGTATATAATATACTACTATAGATACACATCTTACCTGAGTCTAGGATTATTAGTGAATGGTGAAATAGTCAGGTCAAACCTCCTCTCCTTTCTCCTGCCTGCTTTATAACATAATTATATTATCTGTCTATAGACTTGGGGACTGTACAAAAGATAGCTTGTCAAACTATGCTGCTCAACTTGAGCGGTGGACTTGTTGGATTAACATTCTACAAGAATTTCTTTTCTTTACCTCCAACTTTCTAAAGGACTTCTTGCAAAGCTCTATCAGTGTATTTTCCTCGATTCAACACACCCCCCTACACCTTTTTATTCAAGGGGTCCCCTTGGAAAGGCTTGCAGGCAGTGGTCCTCACTGATCTTTCATTTTCTGGGGGTAGATACACTAAGCAGTATGAGTTTTGCTGGGTGGAAATATACTGTATAATATGAAGGGTAAATAAATCAATAAGTGATTCTGGGATTCATTTACCAGCGATCTCAGTATAATGAGGCAAGTTAGAAATAAATCATTTCTGACTTGAGTTGGCAAGATTTTCCAGTTTAACCCTATTACCCTTACATTTTGAAATTCTGTTGTTTAGTCACATGTCTCTGATTAATATATAATCAGTAGTATTATGTATTTGTCCATACATAATCCCTATTCAGCGTTATCATTTTGTTATTTTATTTTCCTAATTACAAGTCATAATACTGAATATTTCTATTGAGAAATAAACAAACATAACGAGACACATTAAAATATCCCTGGTACAATATTATTCCAATTATAACCCTTACCAACCCATCACAGGAATAAAGTGATAATTAGACACACTAAAATATCCCTGTTACAATATTATTCCAATGACAAACCTTACCAACCCATCACAGGAATAAAGTGATAACTAGACACTAAAATATCCCTGGTACCATATTATTCCAATGGTAAACCTGACCAACCCATCACAGGAATAAAGTGATAATTAGACACTAAAATATCCCTGGTACAATATTATTCCAATGGTAAACCTTACCAACCCATCACAGGAATAAAGTGATAACTAGACACTAAAATATCCCTGGTACCATATTATTCCAATGGTAAACCTTACCAACCCATCACAGGAATAAAGTGATAACTAGACACTAAAATATCCCTGGTACAATATTATTCCAATGGTAAACCTTACCAACCCATCACAGGAATAAAGTGATAACTAGACACTAAAATATCCCTGGTACCATATTATTCCAATGGTAAACCTTACCAACCCATCACAGGAATAAAGTGATAATTAGACACTAAAATATCCCTGGTACCATATTATTCCAATGGTAACCCTTACCAACCCATCACAGGAATAAAGTGATAACTAGACACTAAAATATCCCTGGTACCATATTATTCCAATGACAAACCTTACCAACCCATCACAGGAATAAAGTGATAACTAGACACACTAAATATCCCTGGTACAATATTATTCCAATTATAACCCTTACCAACCCATCACAGGAATAAAATAATTTAACTAGCTCTGTCTTGGCCGGTCCAGTTCCATGACATGTGTTTGTTGCTAAGGGCAGCATCTTCTGTTTTGTGGTACAGAAGCCGCCTATTCTCCCCATCTCACAGCCTGTGTGTGTAGCTACATTGTAACATATGTTAATCCTCCTGTATCCTGAATCAGGCATGAATAGGGCTGCACTAATGCTAAGGGCCTTTGCTTTATCAGAGCATGTGTCTATGTGTCTGCTTTTTATTATTATTTTGTTATTGTTATTTTTTTTTTACCACACTGGAAAATATATAAAAAGAGAAATGTTAATACTGAGATTTCGATGTTTACTTGGGATACAATTGACCACTTAAAATGCGACTTCTATATACCATGAAGATGCACTATGTGAAGTGGGCAGGGGATCTCAGTGTATTTGCTTTTGTGCCGATTGATATGTAAATCCAACTATATTTGTGTTTGCCTACTTTCTAGTTCTTTAAACTGCTGAGCTCACCTTTCTATGGCTGACTCAAACAATCATTAAACTAAGCCTCCATGTGACAAAATGAAATCTAGTTAATTTAATGGAACTAGTAGCTTTTTTGGGGGGTGTGGGGGTGGAGGAGGGAAAATAAAAGAGGATAAGTCAGTGTACAGAACAATTATTTGATCATGTACTCCTCACAATCCCCTGAGTTAATAGAGTAGCTAAAACTATACATAAAATATATGGACACCTTGCATAATCAGATCGAACAACAAAAATATATGCTCCATATTTAGATATTATTCTTTAAAAAAATCTATCAATCTATAAAATGATTGATACATGATCAGTGATAGTTTTGCCGTATATATAGTGCAAGCCATATACTCTCATGATTTTAAACCGTTTACACATAATATATATTTATTTAAAAAAAAAAATGAAAACGGTGATATGTATACTGTATGACTGCGAGTTATTTAATTGCACATCTACTCTATTTTCTCTTATTTTATAACTTTTAAATAAGTTGTAATAATAAATAATATATCATTTGTAAATATTTTATTTTGATTATTTGTCGTGGCTTTCGTGGCTTCACACAATGAGTCTATGTGACTTTATGTAATCGATATGCTTCGAAATGAAGTACATTTATTGAATACACTGTAATAATCTGATATTGTGATATTGATAGATATATCATTAATTTGATGATTTAATCAGCATATTCGTCTAAGAAGGAACTAAGCTAAAATTTTAAGTGCCACTATATACATATATAGATAATGCCACAAAAATATGAGAGTATTGCAGTATGCAATGATACCTTTTTATTGGACTAACATAATATTCAAAGACAAGTTTTCGAGAATTTCCTCTCTTCCTCAGGTCTGAAGCAATACTGATCAATATGATAGAGTGTAACACTTAAAAAAACACCTGATGTTAGAGAAGGGAAGGGGAGAAAAGAGGAAAACTCTCGAAAGCTTGTCTTTGAAATATTATGTTAAGCCAATAAAAAAGGTGTCATTGCATAGTGCAATAGTCTGGGATTTTGGCATCTTGTCTACTGCTCTAATACGGCTAATCCAATCTACAATATATATATATATATATACATATAAAATGAGAGATATCTGTAAATATTTAGTATGGGCATTGGTGAATTCAGAGACCTACAAATTATAAAATAACCGATTTAATTTGAAAATAATTTATTTTATTCGAAAAGTCAGATGGAAATATACAGACACATTCCCACAATTAAATACTAACCCTCGCCTTACCGTTAGTTGCAGGTGTTGAATAAGAAAAGGGGGAACAAATAGTTAGTGCTTTATTGATTAAGGGCTCGCCTGGTTTCTGTTTGTTTATGAAAACTTTCTTTAAAAAAAATTAAAAAAAAATTAGAAAATCACAGCACCCCCGAAACTACTTAATAATGATAAAACGAAGAAGTAGATATATAATAAATACTTTCACGGTGTCCGGAAATAATATAGATATATATGTTTTCGTCCTGTCCTTTTAAATTTTAGCGAATTAAGTTGGTTTTGTAATAACATGATGGCATTTCTTATTTCTACGAAAATTGGGATTAAATGCAATAACACGACAAACGATGGGATTAAATTATTATAACAGAATACCCCAAATATATATTACTCTAAAATGTGACACACGCCAAAGGATCTCATCACTAAACAGCAAATTGCGGTTAATTTACAAGCGGTTTGCAGAATTCTGGTTATATTTTGCAAACTGGGGAAACAAAATCTCGCTATATTTATTTTTAGAAATGTTCCCAATTCTGCTAATCCTGCTGTAGGCCAGTTTATTCTTATAATAATAATAATAATAATAATTAATAATAATATGATTATTATTATTATTATTATTTTAGCTTATTACAAATTGCTGTTTGGTGAATTGACTCCAAATATGACTCACTATTGATGCTATTAAGTTTAATTTTTTTTAATATACTAGAGGTTTATAAAACAATATGAATTCGTTAGTAGATACTGTATTTGTCTGCAAATATAATTTAATTTTTGCCATTCACATACCTAATAATTGCTGTTATGTACATTTATTTATTACACCTGTTGATCTTTGACCTAATTTCTTTACATTAGAAATAAAAAACATACCTATCAGCCAATCTATCATTTAACATTTACAGCAAGTAGAATAATTAAAGAAAGAATACATTTTAGAATAAAAATAGAAATAGATAATTGTATGTTTCAAATATGCATAATTTATTAGAGATTTCCCATGGACTATACTCAAGGCAGAATTCTAAATAAGATACAGAAGATAAAATAAAAAATAAAAAGAAACGCATAGAACATTACTCTGGTATAATGTACATCAGTCATTTCAGTGCCATATTAAAAAAAAAAATCCTTTTTCTTTTCTTGTGTGTGTACCTTATTTATTTTAAACAACAAAATGTACAGATTTCTAAAAACTAAAATATTTGGAGTCCATCAAATAAGAGGGGTTACAGTCTCAGTTAAAACTAACAAAAAAAAAAAATTGGTTTCATTGCTGGCTGCAAAATTAGGACATTTATTTTGTCTTTGCAAATAGGGATAACTCTTCCCCAATTTTGTTACCCCAAAAAGCAACGTATAATCAGGTTGCTGGGAGGCTGAAGTCTATGCCTTCTCTCGATTTCACGTTTTGAGTGCCATCCATTCATGATAATAACTATCACTAACCTTCCACTTTTTTTTGGATTGCTTAGTGAAACACCAATGCACCCTGCCTAACGTATAAAGAGTTATTTCCCTCATCCATCCTTACTATTTGTTTTAGTTTCCATTTTTCACTTATTTTCTTACTTTTTCCTTTTCTTCTTTTTTTTCTCTCTTTTATTTTACTTCTTGCATTTGTTTTTCTTGAGGCTGAGAAGGGTTATTTTTTTTTTTTTTTTTGGAGAGGGTGGAGTGGGGTTACAGGAGGAGGAACTGAGAGGCTCTCATTCACCATGTCCTGCCATAAAGTAAGGTAGAACAGGACATGGTAGTGCCATAGTCAGAACTGGAAGAGTTCAGGTGTGACAGGCTGCTCACCTGGCTCTGAAGACCAGATGGGCTGCTAGAATGTTGCCCCATATCTGGAGATTGGCCTGCACTGTTTGTCTGATGGCTTTGATGTTGCCCCAATCCATTTGTGGTCACAGTGATAGCTGTGGGCCCTTGTTGTTGGTGGTTCTGTAGGGATGCTGTGGGTGTGTTGGAACCTGCCTGGCAAGGCTTGCCATCCTTCACCAACACTGGCACAGCCACCCTTCTAGGAGAATGCTGCTGTTGGCATGAATTGCTGTCCTGTTGCATCTGCTGTTGGGCTGCTTTGTCCTTGGCTTGCCTCTTCATTTTATAACGGTGGTTTTGAAACCATATCTTCACCTGAGTGGGTGTTAGATGGATCATGCTGGCCAAATGTTCTCTCTCTGGTGCCGACAGATATTTCTGCTGTTTGAAGCGCCTTTCCAATTCGTAAACCTGGGCCTGGGAGAAGAGGACCCTGCGTTTCCTCCTCGGTGTGCTCTGGATGGGGCCCATGCTCTTGCCAACATCTCCCAGAGAGCCCATGTTACCAAGACCTCCCATGTTCATCCCACCGGAGGGGCCCATAAAACGTGAAACTAAATTGGTAAGACACACAAGAAAAAAATAAATACAATGAAACAACCATTTTCATACAGGGCATTTTACATTCCATTTCATATAACAGTTTGGAATCTTCATAAAAGCAAAATATATCCACATTTCAAAGAACTTTTTCATTCTTTTATATACATACACACATGATGTATGTATTTTGATGTATCTCGTACAATAATAATGCACACGCGTAAAGAATTGTTACATGTGTTATATTGTAACAATAGATTATTGATACAAATATTGGTATAAAAGTTCCTCTCAAAGTCCTTTTAGGCAACATTTAGTTAAGTTTGAAAAAAACAAACAAACACCAAGTGTATTTTTTTTTTTTTTTTTCATTTAGAGTCATCACGCAAAACATTTTAAAGAATAAAAATAAATATAAACGACTTAGGTGTTCAATGAGAATGTTGCCCACTGACACATTCTGCATCAATCCTACTATTTGTTAACTAGTTCCAAATATCACTGAGGTTTCTATAAAACACAGCATTCTGTCTGATACTTACTGGTAGAGAATCGTGGGTCTGGGTTGGCTCCGTACCATCCTGTAGCTGAGCTATTCCTCATGGTGTCCTGGTAAGGTGGTAGTTCACTCATATTGCCCAGGTTGCCCAGATTGCCGTTGCAGTAGCCCCCCATGGAGGTGTGGGAGAGCTGAGGGACCCCTGACGCTGTCATGTGGTAGGTGGCACTCACTGGCCCATTGTGGCCCATGCTGTGCTGTTGCATGCCAGGCTGAGACACCTGGGACTGCCTATAGGCTGCCAGGGGAGCCCCCAAGCCAGACCCCTCCATGCTCACTTTCTTGTAGCTCTCCTCCAGAGGACTCAAGATATCAGACACTGAGAAGGGAGTAGTATGCTTGGGACTCATCGACATGTTTCTGAGACTGGGAGAAAAAAAAAGAGATCTCTCCCTCTCTCCTCTTTTTTTTTTTTTTTCCCCCTTGCCAAATATTCTGGTGTAGCCTTAACGCCGATCCCGTTGGCTGTACACGTAAGAGAGCGGCTGAAGTCCGCCTTAATTGCGCAGAGTGGCGCTCAGAGCGTTCTTTGCGTTACTTTTAGCCAGCCGCCAGGTTTTAGGCAGCGGGGGCGTGGCCACGGCGAGCAGCCAGACAATGGAGCGCGAGCTGCCGCACATAATGAGCCTGCATGATGATCACAAGGTGAACACCTATAGGCAGCCTGGCACCAGGGACACCTACCGCCTTAATAACACATAGCCTGGCACCAGGGACACCTACCGCCTTAATAACACACAGCCTGGCACCAGGGACACCTACCGCCTTAATAACATACAGCCTGGCACCAGGGACACCTACCGCCTTAATAACACACAGCCTGGCACCAGGGACACCTACTGCCTCAATAACACACAGCCTGGCACCAGGGACACCTACCGCCTTAATAACACACAGCCTGCCACCAGGGACACCTACCGCCCCAATAACACATAGCCTGCCACCAGGGACACCTACCGCCTCAATAACACACAGCCTGCCACCAGGGACACCTACCGCCCCAATAACACATAGCCTGCCACCAGGGACACCTACCGCCCCAATAACACACAGCCTGGCACCAGGGACACCTACTGCCCCAATAACACACAGCCTGGCACCAGGGACACCTACCACCTCAATAACACACAGCCTGGCACCAGGGACACCTACCACCTCAATAACACACAGCCTGGCACCAGGGACACCTACCGCCTCAATAACACACAGCCTGGCACCAGGGACACCTACTGCCTCAATAACACACAGCCTGGCACCAGGGACACCTACTGCCTCAATAACACACAGCCTGGCACCAGGGACACCTACCGCCTTAATAACACACAGCCTGGCACCAGGGACACCTACCGCCCCAATAACACACAGCCTGGCACCAGGGACACCTACCGCCTCAATAACACACAGCCTGCACCAGGGACACCTACTGCCCCAATAACACACAGCCTGGCACCAGGGACACCTACTGCCTCAATAACACAGCCTGGCACCAGGGACACCTACTGCCTCAATAACACATAGCCTGGCACCAGGGACACCTACCGCCTCAATAACACACAGCCTGGCACCAGGGACACCTACCGCCTCACTAACACACAGCCTGGCACCAGGGACACCTACCGCCTCAATAACACACAGCCTGGCACCAGGGACACCTACCGCCTTAATAACACACAGCCTGGCACCAGGGACACCTACCGCCTTAATAACACACAGCCTGGCACCAGGGACACCTACCGCCTTAATAACACATAGCCTGGCACCAGGGACACCTACCGCCTCAATAAAATACAGCCTGGCACCAGGGACACCTACCGCCTTAATAACACGCAGCCTGGCACCAGGGACACCTACCGCCTCAAAAACACATAGCCTGGCACCAGGGACACCTACCGCCTCAATAACACATAGCCTGGCACCAGGGACACCTACCACCTCAATAAAACACACACATACTGTATAGCAGGGATCAGCCTGATAGAGTGCAATAAGTACATGTGTTTACTATCTATCTATCAGTCTATCTAACTATCTATCTATCTATCTATCTATCTATCTATCTAATATACCCTCCTTCCATCTATCCACTTTTCTACTTCTACTCTATAAATATATTTTCCATTATTCTATGTATGTTGTTCATATTTTGGGCAAACCTTTGCACATTTTTTTTTCTCACCTTAATAATATTATCTGTAGTGTAACATGCATATCATATTTGCATAATACACTATAACTACACTCGCCTTTGATGAAAATATAGTGTCAGTGTATCACAGTGACATCATTGATTTTGTTCTCCATATCGTTCATTTAAAAAATATGATATTGTGTATCAAGCTTGCAAAAAAAAAACCCCCGAAATATCACCGTGAGTTCACACAAAGGAGTGTTCTAACTAAATAGTTAGTTGTGCATATTTCTAATATTTAGACAAGATTAGCCAGTTTGGGGAGAAATTGATTTAGTGATAATTTAATATTTTCATTATTTTTACATGTATTGACATTTAGCAGTTTTTGAGTAGTGTTATTATTATAAAGGGCAGCTTTACCTGGGCTGGGGCATTATTTAAAATCTTTAATAGTGAAATGATAGATAGATAGACAGATGTTAAATATTTATCTATCTATCTAATGATAGGAGACCTACATGAAGCCCAGAAAATCTATTCTTTTTATCTGTCACAATCCTCTGTGGTTGTTCCATTTCTCCTATTGAAATCTGAATTTGCCAGCACATTGACACATACAGTTTTGTATTTAAAATGTACATTTATATCGCCTTTGACACAATTTTGGAGGCTGCAGGCTCACTGTAACCTAAACTGTTCTGAATACCCGTCTGCAGGAGAGCAGATTAACCATTACAGCGAATGAAGAGGAAATAAAAAAAAATAATAAATAGAAAATAAACGGATTTTTCTCTTATGATTCCCAGAATTGGAAGTAATCTAATAAAATGTCATATTAAGAGCTGCATGCTTAAGGTTTTGCAGTTAACCCAATGACTTTTGAGCATTTTAGAAGTATTTAGTAATTGCACTTGTAAATGTGTTTATACTTTGCTTGCTCATACTTAAAAATGCAAAAGTGCTCTTGGTACCCTGGAATAACTAAATATCTTTGTCTAAAGTGGCAGTATAAATGGCCGGCTGCTTTGTGGTCCTGCTTCATATTAGTACATAAGGATCATTTTGCATCAATTGGGAAGCCCTTATTCAGTAGGCGAGGAACTGCTTAGAGAGAGAGATTTTCCACACCACTCTTAACCCCTTGGCTACCAGGAAGCATCCAATGGCACTGCTGCAGCATGTTTTAGAAACCCCACTCCTGGCACTCACAGTGTTAAGGTCCCTCCTCAAGTCCATGTTTGATTGTGCTTTAAGGCTCTGCAAGAGGTGATCTCCCCTCTTACAAATATAATAGATGAGAACCCCCACCTCTCTCTCACTCTCATCCCATCAATCAGATTTGAAGTTTATATTAACTGCATCTACCACATTGAGAAGCAGATATTTCCTCTCCAAATATCTTGCAGTGACACAAAGAAAAAAAAAAAGGAAAAGTGTAGTATAATGACATGCCTCAGTACCACTCATATGTCCTCCTCTCCAAATGGAGAGCTACATGTTATATCGATGGGGCACTCTTAATTCTCTTGACAAATTCTGCCCACAAAACATTGGTCTCTGGCTGACAAGTGCAAAGAATCCTCTGGCAGATGAAGGGTTAACAGGAGATCTAAGCCTGTGACAAGAGTTCAGAATCCTATCAGGGAAAGAGGAACCCATACTCTCTGTCTCTTTCGTATGGGCAGGAGTATAACCTTTGACAGATAATAGGGTGGGCATATCGATATATCTTTCAATAATCCATCTATGGAGTAGGGGTGGGAGGGGGTGTAGGTCCTTAAGGGTGGCAATGCATCATGGGCTTTGTAGTTCTATCAAAGCTGGGCATTTACTTTTTGGCCAAGCCTGCCTTACATTCTTCTTAAATGTACCTGTGTCAGTACTGCTATCATTGATATAGTTAACCCAGGAAGTCGGTGAAAATCCAATTCAATATTCAAAACGACATCTCATTTTTATTAATGAACATATCAAACACTACTGCTCAGTGATATGTTTAAGTATAGTGTCCGTATGTTTATGCTTATGTAGCAAACAAATCCATAATATTTCTGTTAAATTGTGAGAATAATCACCAATGTGTGTTTATCATAGTTTATCACAGTTCATGGACACATTTACAATCTTACAAAATCATAATGGTTCATATTCTGATTGACACTCTTTCCCCCTGTCCTGGTGATATAATAAACATTACAAGGATTGGAGAACCACCAAAATATGTCTCCTAAAGATTAGACAAACTAACCCAGGAAGCTAACTGCATGTTCTAATCTAGAACCATAACATTCTATTCTAGAACTTCCCCTGCATCGTTCTATAGACCAGACTGGCGATATGACCACACGTTAAAGCACTGTATATATTTTATAGACTACACTCATTCAGTCTAAAGACAAATAAAAACGGCATTTTTCATGTATAACCACACTCTCACCCAGACCCACTAAAACAAATATTCCCTGCCCTGGCACTTAAAGAGTTAATATTTAACCATTGCCCGTTATTGCAGGGCCATCTGCATCATAAATGGTATCATATCCCAATCTGTAAAAATATACCCACAACTGTCTCCCAGCACATCTGTCTGTCTCTCTACATCTGTCTTGTGATCACATTCTGTTTATTATATAGGTTATTTTTGTTTGTTTTTTACAATGCACTTCGGGTCAAATTATTATTATTATTATTATTTTATTATTTATATAGCGCCATCAGATTCCGTAGCGCTGTACAAAGGATGATCTGGTTTCTCTATCCTCATCAGATAATAGAAATGCATTATCTAATTTAATTCACTTTCAACAAATATCCTGGTTCACAGTTATTATTCTTACTTTATGCTGCAAGGTTCAAACTGATTAATTGCGCTATTACTATTAAAAAGCTTAGATATTTCCCCCTGGCAACTAAATTGCACTGAATAATAAACACTGTTCTATGTGAGCAGAAAGTTGCGTTTTCAATAGAAAACGGATTGTGGACCGCAGACTGCTGGAGCCTCTAAGTCTGAGGATTTGTACTTCTAGTGCAGCCCATCATTTACATAGGGGTTACTGGCAAACAGGAACACAAAGCAGGTAATGGGAACAATTCGAAAGGACACACCAGGATTTTATCAAGAGCAGGGCTGGTAAAAGTCCTGGGCAGGGAGTGTTTCTTTTCTCCAGATTATATAACATAATATAGTATAATTTAAGAGACACACACACACACACACACACACACACACACACACACACACACACACACACACACACACACACACACACACACACACACACACACACACACACACACACACACACACACACACACACACACACACACACACACACACACACACA